GTAACCTAATACAATTATGTGTTATCGGTTTACATAATATATTTGTTTAAGTCAACGTTTACATTTTTTTTCAGTGTAGGTAGATGTTTTTGAACTGGGTTGGCAGTCTTAAAGACACAGCTCCAAGTTAACCAGATACAACACACACACCTTTCATTCAGACTTTGTAGACTGTTGCCGTGAAGGTAAGGTACGTTTATTTATCTAGCACATTTTCAGACACAGAGGCAATTCAAAGTGAATAACATCAACATTAACACACAATAGGAAGACAAACGAAAAAAAACACAATAAATAAACACAATGGAATAACAGATTCATATAAACCATGCATAAAAGAGATACAGAATAGTTTAAAAACAACATTGTAAATACAATAGGTGCTGCAAGAAGTGTAGGGATACAACAAGTTAGATTACCTCTGGGTAAGCAGCTGTACAAAGTGTTAAAGAGAACATGAAACTCTGTTATGTTTGAATCCTTGTCCGTGCAGAAAAGCTTTTTTAATATCCAAAGACAATCTCTGGACTTGAATCTTGATATTCCACCACACACAGGATCGTGGTGTTCGGGGAGAGCATGCTAAAAGCCATTGTAACCGGATCAGCCAAACCCTTCAACTTCCAGAGAGAGTTCCACCTGACGGACGAAGAAGTGAGACTCATCGACAGATTACTGAGATTACAGATTACTGAGCATGGTGGTTATTAAACCTTTACTTCTGTCCCAGACTCTGAGTGTCAGTGATCACTACCCCGTGGAGGTGGAGCTGAAGCAGAAAGCAGCGAGAAAAAGGAAAAGAAAGGCACCACCCGCCAAAGGACAAACTCACAAGAAAGGTAACGTTTGTTTTATTGACATCAGTGCCTTTTGGATATTGTATTTTTTTATGTGTAACAGTCTTTGTTTTAGGTCTGACGTGACTTTGCAATCACAGTGTTTACATATCTTCTTCTTAGACGTCATAAAAATGCATTTCCTTTGGTGTTAAAATACTTTTTTTTAAACTGTCTTCTCTTTCATTTCTAAATGAACCGTTACAGGACCACAGAAGAAGAAGGCAAAGCTGGTGGCACCACAGAAGAAGAAGGCAAAGCTGGTGGCACCACAGAAGAAGAAGAAGGCAGATCCGGTAGCACCACAGAAGAAGAAGAAGGCAGATCCGGTAGCACCACAGAAGAAGAAGAAGAAGCCATCGAACACACCGACCAAGAGGAGACGTTTAGACAAATGAACAACAAATAGACTTTCAGACATCATTTTAAATATTCTTCACATTTAAATAACCTCACTGAGGAAGAAAGACTCCATCTACTCAAAAATGTGATTTCATTATTTCTCTGATGTGTTTTAGCTTCCCTGTGCAGAAAGCTTAGTTAGACTTTTTGGTGGTGGAGGCCAAACACGGAGCAAAAAGAGAGAACATTTGACTTGGACAAAAAGACTTCTAATGAATGATTGTCTTGCTCTGTAACTGCTCGATGAAGATATAAGAAACTAGTCATATCAACTTAAAATGTGATTATATGTCAGTGTTTATGTCTTAGCCCTCCACCAAGTCCAACCCTACCAAAGCTCAATTCAATCATTCATGTGCAATATCATATTTCGATGTAACTATTGATATGATCTATTTAAGTTTTTACCTGTTTATGATATCATGCCTTTAGTTTGACTTGTAGTTGCACTGTTCCTTTAATGCTGTAACACTGCACATTACCCCACTGTGGAATAATAAAAGATGATCTTATCTCAAAGTTTGTTCTGATTGTTTCTAAGTGATTAGCAGGAGTTGAATTCGCCACAGAGGTCTCTCCATCTCCACAACAAACAGACCTGGTGATCAAAACCCCGTAAAAACAGTGAATGAAGAAGTTTGACGTTAGAAAACTGAGTTTCTTCTGCATGCTGTTCGGCTGTCGCTAACTTTAGCTCAGCTTGTTTCTCGGATATCTTCAGATCCAGACGTCCCATCACTGAAAACCTTCAGCAGAATAAAACATAGAGTTAAAAAGCACCAAGATGTAAAAAGTGTAAGGTAAAAAGGTGAATAAAAAGACTTTTACTGAAGTACAAGATCTGAGTACTTCTACTTTTACTCAAGTACAAGATCTGAGTACTTCTACTTTTACTCAAGTACAAGATCTGAGTACTTCTACTTTTACTCAAGTACAAGATCTGAGTACTTCTACTTTTACTCAAGTACAAGATCTGAGTACTTCTACTTTTACTCAAGTACAAGATCTGAGTACTTCTACTTTTACTCAAGTACAAGATCTGAGTACTTCTACTTTTACTCAAGTACAAGATCTGAGTACTTCTACTTTTACTCAAGTACAGGATCTGAGTACTTCTACTTTTACTCAAGTACAAGATCTGAGTACTTCTACTTTTACTCAAGTACAAGATCTGAGTACTTCTACTTTTACTGAAGTACAAGATCTGAGTACTTCTACTTTTACTCAAGTACAAGATCTGAGTACTTCTACTTTTACTCAAGTACAAGATCTGAGTACTTCTACTTTTACTCAAGTACAGGATCTGAGTACTTCTACTTTTACTGAAGTACAAGATCTGAGTACTTCTACTTTTACTCAAGTACAAGATCTGAGTGCTTCTACTTTTACTCAAGTACAAGATCTGAGTGCTTCTACTCAAGAACAAGATCTGAGTACTTCTACTTTTACTGAAGTACAAGATCTGAGTACTTCTACTTTTACTCAAGTACAAGATCTGAGTACTTCTACTTTTACTCAAGAACAAGATCTGAGTGCTTCTACTCAAGAACAAGATCTGAGTACTTCTACTTTTACTCAAGTACAAGATCTGAGTACTTCTACTTTTACTCAAGTACAGGATCTGAGTACTTCTACTTTTACTCAAGTACAAGATCTGAGTACTTCTACTTTTACTCAAGTACAAGATCTGAGTACTTCTACTTTTACTCAAGTACAGGATCTGAGTACTTCTACTTTTACTGAAGTACAAGATCTGAGTACTTCTACTTTTACTCAAGTACAAGATCTGAGTACTTCTACTTTTACTCAAGTACAAGATCTGAGTACTTCTACTTTTACTCAAGTACAATATCTGAGTACTTCTACTTTTACTCAAGTACAAGATCTGAGTACTTCTACTTTTACTCAAGTACAAGATCTGAGTACTTCTACTTTTACTCAAGTACAGGATCTGAGTACTTCTACTTTTACTCAAGTACAAGATCTGAGTACTTCTACTTTTACTCAAGTACAAGATCTGAGTACTTCTACTTTTACTCAAGTACAGGATCTGAGTACTTCTACTTTTACTGAAGTACAAGATCTGAGTACTTCTACTTTTACTCAAGTACAAGATCTGAGTACTTCTACTTTTACTCAAGTACAAGATCTGAGTACTTCTACTTTTACTCAAGTACAGGATCTGAGTACTTCTACTTTTACTCAAGTACAAGATCTGAGTACTTCTACTTTTACTCAAGTACAAGATCTGAGTACTTCTACTTTTACTCAAGTACAGGATCTGAGTACTTCTACTTTTACTGAAGTACAAGATCTGAGTACTTCTACTTTTACTCAAGTACAAGATCTGAGTACTTCTACTTTTACTCAAGTACAAGATCTGAGTACTTCTACTTTTACTCAAGTACAAGATCTGAGTGCTTCTACTCAAGAACAGGATCTGAGTACTTCTACTTTTACTCAAGTACAAGATCTGAGTACTTCTACTTTTACTCAAGTACAAGATCTGAGTACTTCTACTTTTACTCAAGTACAGGATCTGAGTACTTCTACTTTTACTGAAGTACAAGATCTGAGTACTTCTACTTTTACTCAAGTACAAGATCTGAGTACTTCTACTTTTACTCAAGTACAAGATCTGAGTACTTCTACTTTTACTCAAGTACAAGATCTGAGTACTTCTACTTTTACTCAAGTACAAGATCTGAGTACTTCTACTTTTACTCAAGTACAGGATCTGAGTACTTCTACTTTTACTCAAGTACAAGATCTGAGTACTTCTACTTTTACTCAAGTACAAGATCTGAGTACTTCTACTTTTACTCAAGTACAGGATCTGAGTACTTCTACTTTTACTCAAGTACAGGATCTGAGTACTTCTACTTTTACTCAAGTACAACATCTGAGTACTTCTACTCAAGAACAAGATCTGAGTACTTCTACTTTTACTCAAGTACAAGATCTGAGTACTTCTACTTTTACTCAAGAACAAGATCTGAGTGCTTCTACTCAAGAACAAGATCTGAGTACTTCTACTTTTACTCAAGTACAAGATCTGAGTACTTCTACTTTTACTCAAGTACAAGATCTGAGTACTTCTACTTTTACTCAAGTACAACATCTGAGTACTTCTACTTTTACTCAAGTACAAGATCTGAGTGCTTCTACTTTTACTCAAGTACAAGATCTGAGTACTTCTACTTTTACTCAAGAACAAGATCTGAGTACTTCTACTCAAGAACAAGATCTGAGTACTTCTACTCAAGAACAAGATCTGAGTACTTCTCCCACTTCTGGTTAAATGTCTGTTTCCTTGTTTTTTGTCATTGTTGATGCTGCAGATAGAGTTGCTGTGATGCAACATTTCAGACTACGTATTGTTGTATCATATCATGTTCATATAAATGACCTGATTGGGCTGGTTTTAAAACCTAAAGTAGCATGAAATACAATCACACAGACACATCACCTCTCATGGTTAACTGACCAGAGGCAGTACGGCTGAAATAGAAGTAGACCAGCTTTTCTCCAAAAAAGACTGCACTTCTGTTATTTTAAAGGTTCAGTTATGGATTGTTTTTGCATGAATAGGCTTCGTCCTCCAGCAGAACGAACAGGTAGCTTCTTGACATTTTCCCTGAAAGTCAGATATTTGACACCCCGTCTCCTCCTCCTTCGGGAGAGGATTAAAAAGGCACGAGACACCTGAGACAGCTCACTGTGGCCGGACATCTTACACTGACTGGTCCACTTCTTTTTGACTACCATTTTCTGCAAGTCTTCTTCTTCTGCATTTGATCCTAAACCTCTACTTCTTCTATTTTATTAGTCTTTGCACAACCTGCCTCTCTGCTTCCTTTCAATCCACCCTCCTGTCTCCATCTTTCTCTCAGTCTCAGCTCCTCTCCCTCCACGATGAGTCTGAGTCGTTCGAAGCGGATCAGCTCTAGCAGTTCAGTCCGCAGCAGCAGTGGAGTTGGCTCCAGGAGGCTCAGTGGCTATGGTTCTGGTCCTGGAGGTTTCAGTGGTCTCTCTTTGAGCAGCAGCTCTTTGTACGCAGGCACTAACGGGCTCCACCACGGCCTCGGGGCCCCACTGGCCTCTCTGTCCGTCAACAGGAGCCTGCTGGCCCCTCTGAACCTGGAGATAGACCCCAGCCTCTCCATGAGCCGCGCCCACGAGAAGGAGCAGATCAAGAGCCTCAACAACCGCTTCGCCACCTTCATAGACAAGGTACAGAGACGGAGCTCCATTCAGCTTTTACAGGAGGGGGAAAGGCATTTGTGTATTATTGTTATATGTTTTATTGAACAAGGATCATGCATAGAAATGAATCTCATACAGAAGAGACCATTCATCATTTACAGAGGGGGGAAATTAAAACATGTTTTTATTATTATTTTATGTCTTTATTAAATGCATTAAAATACATAAATCAGAAAGAGTTAAGAAGGCAGATTAAAGCTAAAAGCTAATTTCCATCTGTAGTCCTTGCACAGTTACACACACAACAATCACCTAGTGCCTACACACAATTAAAACAGATCAAAATACAGATGTGTAAAATACTACTGTCACTACTTTTTTCAAGTATTTCCATGTTTCATAGACAAGGTAAAGAGATGGAGACCCATTCAGCATTTACAGGGGAAAGGGATTTTTTTATTATTATATGTCTTTATTGAATGCATCAGAATCAGGTTAATCACCAGGTGGGTCGACACGTACGAGGAATTTGACTTGGTGTCGTGGTGCATACATACAAGTAAAACAAAAATTAAAAACACAGATAGAGAACTATTTTAAGAAAAGAATTATAATATTAAAAAATATATATATATATAGTAAAATATAGCAGTATTTACATTGAAATAAATACATAAATCAAAAAGAGTTGAGACGCCAGATTATAGCTAAAAACTCATTTCCATCTGCAGTCCTTGGACAGTTACACATAACAATAAAAAAACAATAAAAATGAAAAAGAAAATACCGAGATCAAAATACAGATGTGTAAAATACTACTGCTACTACTTTATTCAAGTAGTTCCATGTTTTGCTACCTAATACTTGAATACCAACGCTTTTACTTCAGTAAATATTTGATTGGTGACTTGTTGCTATGTTTCTCTGCACTGTAGTATTCCTACAAAAATAACAATGTTATTTTAGCCTTTAAAATGTGAGGATATTCTGCTTTTATATGCATACAAATACATACATCTCAAAGAGAAGATATGCTTTATGCCAGATTATAGCTATCAATAAGGTAATGGAATTCTAATTCCAATTTGTTCCCACTATTTTCTGACTTTTTTATAATCTAAATAAAAAAGTAATAATCTGCTTCAAAATGAAAATGTAATCCACTGAACCTGATCTTTTAAAAGGCAATAACAATATGGAACAGTTTGAAAAATGAAACAACACACCCTTTATCCTACAAACAAATGTTACTTTCATGAGCAACAACTTTTCTCACCTTTATCAGACTTTATTTGCATTTGATGTGTCCTTTAAATGTTGACACTTTATCTGAAAAACACATTGTTTACATGTTGTCATTTCACATTTCATTGTTATTTAGAAATTGGTTAGAGCCTCTTCAACAACACACGCTGACCTTGAGGACGACCTACACAAGCTGATCTAAAAGGAGCTTTCATGGGGGATACCTTTAATAAAAAAGTAAAATAGTGGGTGTTAAATTGGGGAAGTCAGTCTGAGAAGAAGCTGAGTTTTTCCCACAGGAGCCGCTCTGAGATAAAGCCGTTCATTGAAACCGTACTCAGGGAACATCTCTGTTTCTCACGGAGTCGATAACACGCCTCACAAAGGAGCCATTGTTGCTTCAGCAGAGATTCACTTCAGGTGCACAGAGACACAGAGACATATCTACAAATGAACAAATGTACTTTTTTTTATGGACCACAAAAAGTCCCTATTCTGCTTTTTGTTGGTTTCACTTCCCTGTGCTGTGATATATAGGGTTTTGTGCATGTAAATGGTCTGCAACGGCTAAAATCCCTGTGTTCCCTCCATTGAACTTCTTTGTTTACTTCCTGAACACAGTGACATCACTACATAACACTCGCACTCCTACTGGCTAGCGCTCCAACACATTGTGCGTGATAGGCTAAGAGGCGGGACATCTCTAAGCGGTTGAACAATCACAACAGAGCCGGCCAGCTAACCAATCAGAGCAGACTGGGCTCTGGTTTCAGACAGAGGGTGAAAAGAGGTGCTGCAGCACAGGCAGTATGAGAAAAATAAAGAGCTTTTTGAACATTAAAGCATGGAGACATGTCCCAGTAGAGACACTACATACTGATATGAACCTTAAAGGTGACCTATCATGCAAAATGCACTTTTGTACGTCTTTTCTACATGAATATGTGTCCCCGGTGTTCCAGGGAACTCACCAAGTGTCAGAAAACACAACCCTCTCTATTTTCCTCCATACCCAAATCTCTAAAAAAGGGGCTGCAACGGATCTGATAAAAACTGATCCAGATTTGAACACTGTCCTGACGTCAGGACGGTGGCGCTACGGCTATTGGGCCAACTCCACCAATCAGGAGGAGACAGCCACGGCCATAACCGTTCGAAAGCGCTGGAGACGCTGTAGTACATATGCCAGGCCTGTAGATGGTGCTGTTCTCACAGAATCTGCCCTTGCAAAAACAGAGCTAAAAAAGTGCAAATTGAGCAAAATGAGGCATGGCTAAAATGCATGTTTGGTATTTTGAAAAAAAAAAAGTATAAATATGCCTTATATAGGTATGGGTTACACTATATTATTCAAATATAGCATGATTGATAGGTCCACTTTAACATGAGCAGGAGAGGGCACTTTTAATTTAAGCGATACATTCTGTGTAAAATTGTTTACACAGAAGTGACATGTAATGTAATAGAATCAGTATAAATGGATAATGAAATGTCCTGCTAATTTTCCTTTAAAATATATATTTTTAGTTTTGTTGAGCAGGTAGATATTCTTAATTTAAAGTGCAGAATCGTCTCCAAATTTAAGTTTTAAATGTTCTCATTCATTTCAGATTGCCCACGTGTTTGTAAGACATTGCAGTACATGAAAAGTAAAATAATTGATAATTGTGGGGTGTAAGTTACTAACGTTTCTAATTGTAGAGTTTCAAGAGAGAATATTGTGATAGAAAGACATTTTGAAACTCCATCCTCTTCTCTATACGAGTCTCATGTTGTGACTTCCCAGCTGACAGGTGACACACAAAAGAGTCTTTGTTTGCTTTCGTGGTTGCAGAAGCTTTTAGCTGCAGGAGAAGTGAGACTCTTTTGGGTCCTGGTTGCATAATGGCAATAAATGGTCCTTGAGTATTCTGCTAAAAGGCAACGGACTAATAAACATACCCTGCACTTAACTGTGTAATCCAATATGGCTGCTGCACACAGCATTAAAACATTAAAGAGACCCCCCCATGTAGAGAGTAATCTGTCTGATGCAGAAAGCAGGATGCTGGAAGATAACCCAGTTTAATTCTGCATGAACCAACATACATGGAAATGTGATAGTAAGGCATTCCAAGACACAGCGAGTTAATTGATATAGAACATTTCAACAGCGAGGACATTCAAAGTGCATTACAACGTTTTTCCCAATATATGAAGCATAGAAACTGAGCATAAAAACATTTGCTGATACTGGTATTTGCAGAAGGAATCAGAATCAGGTTTATTACCAGGTAGGCTGACACGTACAAAGGAATTTGACTTAATGTCATGGTGCATACATAAAAATTAAAAACACAGATAGAGAACTATTTTAAGAAAGCTATAATAACATTAAAACATATTAAAAATAATACAAATATAGTAAAAAATATAGCAGTATTTACATAGAAATAGAATGGAATAAATTATGAAATACAATTCGGCAGTAATAAAAAAAGAAAACAGATATTGTGTACATTGTGTGCATTAATGTAAGGCATATAGTTCGCCTGGTAAAAGGGCTACTACAAACCTTAAATCGAGCTTGAGGGAATGCACCTGGGATTTAGACGGCCATTTAAACCTTGAATCAGTGGCATTAAGGATATTTACAGTGGACCTATCATGCAATTTTTAGGCAATAGCATAGGTCTCAGATATATAAAAATATATAAAAAACATGTCTATGAAGTGTTTTGCTCAAAATACCAAACAGATCACCCATTCTAGCCATGCCTCATATCCCTCTATTTCACTTCCTGTTTCAAAAGTGCTGATTTGGGGTATAAAGCTTTAAAAAATAAAAATAAATTGATTAAAAAAAAGGAGGGGTCTGAGCTCATGCGGGACCCGGCAGCTACTGTCTATATACTGCGGTGATGAAACGCCATATCATGGATTATGAAGGATTATCTCTGAAACAGTATGGAGCTCAAAGGCTTTCTCTCTTGCCGGTTATACCACAAGGTGAGTTCCTTTTTATTTCCTGCTTCTTCACACACATGCTCTCCAGTGCAGGTTAGCTCTGAGTGTTAGCGATGCTAATGTAAACACCGACCATATTACGTCCAATAGTCTGATAGTGCCGTGGGTCCACATTTCCGATATTACGTCATCTCGGACGCAAATCTGGATCAGCTCCGTTGTTCCCCCGTTTTTAGAGATTTGGGTACGGAGGAAAAGAGAGAGGGTTTTATTTTCTGACGCTGCGTGAGTTCCCTGACACACCGGGGACACAGATTTATGTATAAAAGACATCAACAAGTGCATTTAGCATGATAGGTCCCCTTTAAGCTATCTGTCCCATTTCCATCCTTTGAGTTGTTGTAACCGGATGATCGCGGTTGTTTCTCCGAGGGAGAGATCATTCTCCTCCGAACACAACACAGGCTTTGTTTCGGAGGCAGGAGGGATAAAAGGTGTTGGATATACCCGGCTGCAGGCGGGAAACACGAGCTGAGCAGATACAGGCCGGTGTTGAGATGCTGGAACGATGACAGTTTTACCTCTGAAGACAGACCTTATTCTGCAGCTACAAAAACATGTTTATGTAATGTGTTATTATCTGCTGAGGTGGAAGTGATTTGTCATGAAGGAATGTTTGGTTTGTCCATCCTCTGCTCTGAGAGGCTTTATGTGAGGAGGCTCTGGATGTCTGGAGGTCAAGATGAGATGATGATGTTCGTGATGGTCCTAGCTCACAGGGATAATAGTATTTACTACGGTGGCCCTGAAGGTCAAAACATAGATATTTCAGAAAACTGAACAATGTTTCAAAACCATTCCAGAAAACACAACACCATTTTGAAAAGGGGACAACGTTTACCTAAACATTTCAGTAAACACAAAATCTTTTCAGAAGGGACGACAACGCTAATGAATGTTTCGATGTTGAACAACGGCAACATGACAACGTTTTCATTGGTCCCTCTTCTTTAGAGAAGACCAGGAAATGATGGATACACGGATCGTGTTCAAATCAATAGGCACGCAATGACTCTAAATAATAATGATCACGCCACCAAACACACATTCAAACTAAAGGAACCAGCCTGTTTGGAAAATGTGAGAAGTAGAAAGTACAGGTATTTGGGTTCAAAATGGAAGAAGTAGAAAGTTCATGTATTTGTGTTCAACATGTAAGAAGTAAAAGTACAGTAACGAAGTATTTGTACTCCACTACTTCCCACCTCTGTTCAAAGGTATTTATTTGACTAGCTGCCAACCTTCTGCATCGTCTGGATATACTTTAAAGAGTCTTCCTCTGTTATTCTTACCCCTCCAACGTTAGGTGCGTTTCCTGGAGCAGCAGAACAAGATGCTGGAGACGAAGCTGGACCTCCTGCAGGGTCAGGGGGCAGTCCGCTCCAACGTGGAGCCCCTGTTCGAGGTCTATATGGCGGGTCTGAGGCGCCAGATGGACCTGGTCAACAACGACAAGACCAAACTGGACGGAGAGCTGAGGAACATGCAGGGCCTGGTGGAGGACTACAAGCACAAGTACATGGGTTTTATATATTTTAAAAGTCAAAGTAAAAGTCAACTTTATTGTCAATCTTTCAGTTTGTGTGTACAGAGAGAGAGATCTAAATACCGTTTCCCACAATCCCGAATACAAAAACAAGATATATGAAAATATGTATATATATATACACAATCAACAGACACATTTATACATATGCACACATTAAGACCTAAATAAAAGCACAACAATCAATATATACAAAATAACAGTCACTGCAATATCTTTGGGATATGTACATTAGTGCAAGATTGTCCATAGCAGTGTAAAAAGTGTCTGAAATATACCAGTTGTCATCAATATAGTACAGGTCTCAGATATATACAGAGCCTGTCTCTGATTGGCTGAAACACCAAACAGATCATTGCAGCATCCCATAATCCCCTGAAAATAAGGAGCCACTCCCCACGCCCCTCTGAGAGATATTTGGTTAAAAAGAACACAATAGCTGCGTTCACACCGGAGTACTTTTCCCACAATAGTTCATCAGAACTCAGATATATTTGCGTTCACACCAAAAAGCCCCCTGAACTAAATTAGTTCATCAGAACCATTTTTACCCCCTTTTCCGTCCCTGCTAGAGAGCAGGGACTTTCGTGGGAGAAAAAGGTTCCTATTTCTGATTGGCTGGGCGGATTGCAAACCACGCCCCGTAAAACTCCCAAAAGGTTTTGTGAAGCCGCCATTTTATTATCCTCGCATTAGCATTATTAGCATTAGCCCAGCGCACAAACGCAGAGAGACTAACTTATTGCAACACAAAATAAAACATGGGAGCGGTGGAGATGAGGAGGTGTCGGCGTTCTGGCGATTTACTCGGAAGGCTTCAGTAGAAGCTGCTGGGAGTCCCAGCAGCTTCTACTGAAGCCAGTCCCCAACTCCGGGGACTTCCGGCCGGGGACTTCGGGTGGCAGTATACGCCGTGAAGTGGTTTGCGGCCTGCCAGTAAACCCAAAGCAGAAGAAGAAGAAGTGACGTCAGCGGCTTCATTTGCCTAATCCTCCCTCAGGAACTCATTGCGGTGTGAACGCGATCTGCTTTAGTTCATCAGAACTAAAAGAGTTCTCATGAACTGAGTTCTCATGAACTATTGTGGGAAAAGAACTTGGTGTGAACGCCCCTAATGGTTCTCTAGGAGGAGATTCAGGTGATAAGGTGGGGGGGGGTTACCTTGGTTGCTGATTGGCTAATGGTTACTCAAGCCAAAAAATCGTTATGACATCATAAAGTGGCCAAAATCTGATCAGCTCATTTTCAGACAGGTTTTTATAGAAATGGATCAGGACAAAAAGAGAGAGAATCTTTTTTCCTGAAACGTTCAGAGTCTCTTTCCACAGAGGGGACACATGTTGATGAAGAAGAGACATGGAAAAGTGGATTTTGCATGATAGGTGACCTTTAAGTGTGTTGTTTTAATTGTGTTTTTATGATTTATTTACTGTGTAAAGTGTCTTTGAGTTTCTAGAAAAGCGCTCTACAAATACAATGCATTATTATTATTATTACATCAAACCACTGCGGTAGTAAATAAAGCCACTGTGAGTTGTGTTTTTCTCATTATATAACATTTGACTTGTGTCTTGTCTCCGTCTCAGATATGAGGACGAGATTAACAAGAGGAACAACCTGGAGAACGACTTTGTTATCCTAAAGAAGGTCAGCACACATTCATTCATTCATGAAACTCAGGTGTGGTGTAAGAGGAACCTCTCCATTGTACTTTCCTTTTTGTCCTGCTTATCTCCCATCCCTTCCTACCCACTTGAATCAAAAGCCATTAAAGCTTTGGGAACTTCGCTCTGATCTATTCAAGAAATATATAGCATTTTTCTTCCTATTCTCCGAAATAAACAGGACTTCTGCTCCTGCAACCCTGACCTGAATAAAAGACACAAAAACAAACCAGGTGTCTATCCAAAATGACATTCCCATTAGCCTTAGCTTTACTTTATGCTAATTAGCCTAGCATGCCATCAGCTGTCATGGCTACAGACTGTTGCTAAATATGTGGTTTGTTTCTGTGTTTTCAGGATGTAGACTCAGCCTACCTGGTGAAGGCCGATCTGGAGGATAAAGTCGGATCCCTGACTGATGAAATCAACTTCCTGCGCAACGTGTATGAGGAGGTACTAAACCTGTGACGCTGTATTTAACATATCTTTGTACCTGTTCAATGGAGAGCCAAACAACAGTATCTTCAACCTCAATTCAAGGATCTAATTTATTGAAAAGTAAACATCCTACATATCCCAAAAAGGGGATACATAAGATAAGATAAGAAGTACTTTATTGATCCCAATAAAAGACAAGGCATTGTACATTAGAGAAATTAAAAGACTGGAAATAAACAATTCAAAATGTAAACATCTCAAATAGAAATAAAATAGTATTAAAAAAGACATTTGGCTCATCACTTGTTGGATATATAGGATGGTATATTTTGTCTCTTTTTTGAAAAGGGTTTGTGCATATCCAAGCTAAATTACTGAGTTGCAAAAAAACAAATTGTAAAATGTCTCCAATGGAGTCTGCAAACCTAAAGCTCCAAATAAGTGCTTCTGAGTTTTGCAGTGTGTATCCCTTTTGTGGCGTATTCTGTCTTTCACCACTTTGTGTTGTGTTTCGTGCACCAGGAGCTGCGTGAGCTGCAGGCCAGCATCAAAGACACCTCAGTGGTGGTGCAGATGGACAACAGCCGCAGCCTGAACATGGAGCAGATCGTATCGGAGGTCAAAGCTCAGTATGAGGAGATCGCTGCCCGCAGCCGAGAGGAGGCCGAGGCCTGGTACAAGAGCAAAGTAAGAACTGCTGAAACATGCACAAGAAAAGATATTCAGCTATATCAACCCTGTCTCCTAAAAATTACGTTCCCACAGAAAACTGCATTCTCAATTACGTTTAGCCAGAAACGTATTTTCTCCCACGTTACGTTTGTTATGAACGTATCTCAAATACGGTTATTTTCTACATATCTTTGCCATTTATTGTCTTGCTTATAATAATGATAATAGTCATTTATAAATATCATTTTAGAGCACACATTTGAAATCGACGATCGGGCTCGATATATGGTTAAATTAAAATCAGTAGGCGAGGGTGTAATTTCAACACAGTCTCAAAGGCAATGTGAGCGTCCATTCCCATTGGATAACGGAGGATTTTACACCCGGAAGTAAGTATTCTCCTTACTGTCGATTGATTTTATTTACAGTGATATCTGCACTACTCATCAACTCAAAAACACCCGATTATCCTTGTTAATTCCATAACATTGATTGGTTTAAATTGTGTACAATACTTTTGTATTTTTCCCCTTCGATTCGGAGAAACAAATATTTTTTCGGAGTTTAGGATGGTAGAAGACACTACACTACCCAGAATCCTCAGCTATCGTTTGGGACTACACCATGTGCTTTGCTTGACAAACCCCGTGATTAGTCTTCAAGCTCTGTGATTGGATGTTGGAGTGGCAGTGCGCAAAGTTTACACGGAGCGTCAAACAGCAGTTTGAAATGGAATGAAACCTATCGACGGCACACTAACCAAAACAGGAATCTAACGTGTCCTACCCCCTTTTATAATCCTGAGGGCTTTCTTTAAGGTTAACCTGGTATTTTTACTCCACTACAGTTATTTTAGTTACTTTGCAGATTCTGATTAATGATGTGAAATATAAACAACCCTTAAATCAGACTTTAGTTACACCTGAGTAAAATTCAGTGAAGGTGATTGTCAAGTGCCAACAATCAGGCGAGATATTTGGTAGTTGGTGCTTGAGAAGACTAAACATTTATCTGCAGATCTCTTTAAAGCATATTCATTACTCGTCGTTATTCTCTACTAATAGTTAATTAAAAACTGTATATAATGGCTATTTTGCACATCCCTTTCAAGATTTCAAGATTTTCTAAGGTTTATTGACATATCATATACACAACTACGGTGTAGTTATGCAATGAATGAAAAACTTGGGTCACAGGTTCATCAACAGTGCATGACAAGACATCTATCAATATGTGTGTATTCCTCCACCATTAAACTGTCAAATTCTGCACATTTCTTATACTATCTACATACATAAGAGTATAATTAATGTGTATAATATCAGTTAAAATAAGTGCTTCAACACAGTTAACATTGCAGGAAAGCAATATATTAGACGTTAAGTACTTTGTCAGGCTTAATATTTATCTGTAGATACCCCCAAAGCTGTTTTATTATTTAAAAGAAGACCTTAACCTAAAGCATTCTTTAATGTGTTATTAAATGTTAATTAGTTTGTCTGTTTTGCACATCCTCATATTAATATCTTTATACATCCGGCACTAAACTGTTTTATTGTAGAGATCACTTACAGTATCTTCTTGATTTTTTATATTCTATATTTCTATCATTGACCTTCTACTTTCACCCTATGAAAGTATGTACTCTTAATATTTTTTTCATCAAATAACATTATTCAACAAAAATAACATTATTCAACAAAAATAATTCAATAACGTGCTTTAACCACTAGGCGGTGCACACAAGGTACACACAGCATACTAATAATAACTTTGTATTATTAGTGTAGGACACTTGTGTATGTATAACATCTGAAGATGTGTAGTTTTATTCATGTTTTTACATAATTTTACAGGATATTGCTATACTATTTCTCATGTTTTACTTCTACACATTAATATCTGATTTGTAAAACATCACAGACAGAAAGGTATATCCGTCATTTAATGGTAAGCTATTGACATTGTGATTCCATAGATGTGTCTCCCATCACCCAAAACCCCTGACTATTCTCTCAACTCAGTATTTACATTCTTATATTCAAAGAAAATCAGTAATATCTTTAAAAACTACAAGTCCTTTTCTATCAGCTGTGCACCGTTATGGTGTAAATATAACCTATCTACCAATTGGATCAAATATAAAAGTCAGCCGAATTAGTATTGATACTGCAAGGAGACATATTTTGTGAAAAGAAATGTAAGATGTTGTTTAATTGTTGATATATTTATGATCCACGACACGTATTCAGTTTCGGCGGCACTTCTTCCAGTTTGTCCAGAAGTCTTCTCATCAGGGCTCTATACATACAGAACTACGGCAGATATGTATTACAATGCCGTTATGTGATGACTTTCAAAGAGAAAAGCAAGAACACTCGGAATAAAGTATTATTTTATTTTTAAATGTTTTCGGATTTCACATCGCATAAACACCATCTCCCAATGTGCATTGCGGCTAAAACATCCAATCAGCGAGCTGAGGATCTTTCCTACATCTGTTTCCGGTATTGTTCCTGTAATGAGAGTTCACATTTATGCTACATTGAAGGGTGGAATTGACTACACATGTTCAGAAATATAATTTGCTTCAGATATACTGTAACTCACCTGAGGTCGCTATTCAGTCTGTTACGCTGAGCCATGCATTGTCTGGAACGTAAAAGGGACGAAGAAGACAAAGTGAAGTGACGTACTTCCGGTTCCACATGAAAACATTCCCAGTGCAAAAACAAATCGCTAAATAAAAAGATAAAACACTGGCATGTAATTTACGTTAGAATTAGGGCTGTCAAGTTAATGCGTTAATAACGCGTTAACGCAAAAAAAAATTAACGCCACTAATTATTTTAACGCGATTAACGCATGTGTATTTTTTGTCCTCGGCCGCCCCCGTAGTTTCAGAGCGCATCGAGTTTAAAATACCATCTACAAGCTGATGCTGACAGCCCCGCTCCTGCCGCCCGCTTGTGGCAGACCACACTTCCACGCTCACTGGCAGGCCCGGACTGGCCATCGGGAGGACCGGGAGGGAGTGTGTATGTGTGGCGCGAGCGAGGCACACCTTACGTGTTGTTGTTGTTAGCATCTGGTGCTAGCTAGCTGCGCTAACGGATATAAGGAGCTGTTTCAATGACATTTCGCCGACAACTGCGCCGAGCACTTGACTTTATGCAGGTAGCCAGACAGTGGGACATTGTACGAAAAGTCAGCACACTCAGCACGGATAGTACGCGCAACATGATTGCAGCGTCCAGGCAGCTCCCATTCGAGCATATATGCCTTGAGCTGCACATAGCTCCAACGATCATCCACAGTGTCTCTCCACACACACACACACACACACACACACACACACACACACACACACACACACACACACACACACACACACACACACACACACACACACACACACACACACACACACACACACACACACACACACACACACACACACACACACAGTATTGTATTATTGTATGAGAGAGGTTCTAGGTTGAATTGAGGCGAATATTTGTAATGTTCAGGTTGTTGTGTTTAATATTCATGAGAATATTTGTCATTGTTCAAATGATAATAAAACAAACATATAAAGCATATTTGTCCACTCATATGTTGATAAGAGTATTAAAAACTTGAAAGATATCCCTCTAAGGTACATTTAGAACAGATAAAAAATGTGCGATTAATTTGCGATTAATCGCGATTAACTATGGACAATCATGCGATTAATCGCGATTAAATATTTTAATCGACTGACAGCCCTAGTTAGAATAAATAGAATGGTTTTGAATAATAGATGAGAGTAAAATCTACGTCACTTTACAGCCCCACCCACTTTTGGGGAAACCAACGCTGTCATTTGAACGGCGATCAAGCCTGAAGCCACAGAGCTCTTCTTTTACTGTCCTTTCTTACAGAAACACGTAACTCTGGATTTGTTTTAATGTTTGAGGTGCAATAAATGACACAGCAGCTTTTTGGCATGTTAAAACTATTATTTTCTGCCTCGCTCATGAGAGTAACGCAGCCTACACACGGCGGCGTGCGTTGCCGCTTGGCGGTGGGCGTGTCTTGAGCTTGTGGAGTTAACGCGAGCAACGCGACCAACAACCAATCACATGAATCTCCCGTGTCTCCCCTGGGTAAAAAGGCTTTAAAAAGGCTCCCATGTATGAATCTCACCATAGACATTCATGTCTAAAAAGCGATTTTTAATTAATGTCTATGGTGCTATTTTATACAACATTCCATGCTGGCTAAATACTGTCTATGCCTGCTAGATGTCCATTCAAACGAAGTACACTGGATATAAACTCCCCAAACAGGCGAAAACCTACCAGTTTCACCCACTGTCTCTGCCACCTCCCTCCATGCCTGGCTCCTCCGGTTTGTATCCCGGCAGGTGAACAGGGACTGAAAGCACCGGGTGATTCCCTACCGCTACGATTATTTTCTCCTCCATTTTTTGGTATATGAGGAAATGAACTGCGGTCTGGCTCTCCCAGCATACACGCGGTTTGATTGGCTAGCGCTTGTACTGGCAGATTTGCATACGCGGGATTTGATTGGCTGACGCCTCAGCTTCAAAAGTAGAACATTGCTCTACTTTTGCAGCGAGCACCGCGAGAAAAGCTACGCTTTGCTCCCACAATGCAGTTCAGCGAATCGTGACGTCACCCCATTGAATGGGCAGAAGCGTTGAAGCGTCAACGCACGCCGCCGTGTGTAGGGGCCGTAACAGCTGGCGAAATTACAGCATTGCCTACTGATTTTAATTTAACCATATATCGAGCCCGATCGTCGATTTCAAATGTGTGCTCTAAAATGATATTTATAAATGACTATTATCATTATTATAAGCAAGACAATAAATGGCAAAGATATGTAGAAAATAAACGTATTTAAGATAAGTTCATAACAAACGTAACGTGGGAGAAAATATGTTTCTAGAAGATATGTAGAAAATGAACGTATTTGAGATAAGTTCATAACAAACGTAACGTGGGGGA